TGAAGCTTCTTCGCATATCCTGACTTTTGCTATGAATGACTGCATTTCAAGTTTCTGCATCCCGGAAAAGATCTCCCTCCATTCCCTTTCTGTCAAGGGTTGAATTCCATTACAGAAACATTTTTGGGCAAAATACCCCCGACCCCACTGCATAGCAACAGAATCACAACTCCTATCCTGATAAACCCTGGATGAGAATGAGAACCTGCAGAATGAGCAGTGAATACTGGGCAGTATCTTTACCTTTCTCCATTTCCATGTTTTTAATACAGCCATATTGGTTCTCAAACTTAATCCGTTCTGGGAGTCTGTTCGACTCCTGAAACCATTCGAAAACCAAGACACGGCTTCCGATTGGCTGCAGGAGCTTCCTACACTCAAGCGGAAACTGATTCGGATGTGTGGTTTCCGAGAAACGTTCGCAAACCAGAACACTTACTTCTGGGTTTGCGGCATTCGAGAGCCGATTTGTTTGACAACTAAGTCATTCGAGAACCAAGGTACCACTGCATGGCTTTAGTAAATCAATGGCCTGCTTATTTTATGCTGTTGGTGTTAAGTACACTTTGCCACTTCGGAGTTACACATTTTTAGTTAACTTTAATCTGTCCTCCATATGCTTTTCTAGTTGTTAATTACATGTTCCACTTTATATTTTACTCCAAAGAAGGAAACAAGAGAGGATTTGTTGCAAAGTGATTGTTTTTTACAATATTTATTTTTGGCGCAATCTCGTAGAGCTTCTGATTTATATCTTTATTTTTCCCACAGACACTCTGTTAATGAGACAACAGTTTCAGAAAGGTAAATTTTCTATGGAGGATGACACTTGGGGAGGGAATGGAGACTGGTGTTTCGTTGGCGTCAAACAGTCTGTTCTGCAGACTTTGGAAACACAAATAGCTTTATTATCGTTACGAGCCCTAACGATAATTTAGATTTAGAGGGGTTGTGGCAGAAAAGGAACCTACTGGCACATGTGGTGGTCTTGTAAACATGTATCCAAATGTTGAGAAGTGGTGATGAAGGAGATTTCTGAAAAAAATAGACCCCAAATTGTGTCCTTCATCAATTTGGATGGATTGAATATGGACTTAATATAAAAACAGCTTACAATCCAGCTCCATGTTGCTTTGCTGGATACTGTCTTCTCCCATCCCTGTGGATCAGCCATGACAAGGGGGTGGGACCATCCACCTATCACTCAGCTGATGTCAGATGACTGACACTTGCTCATGCAGAAGAGCTGAGTAAATGTTTTATAGGTGGTTTTGCTTCTTGTAGAAGACAGCTTGATGGACACAAGGGGCACATTATAAATATTTCGACAACAGAAACCCGATTCATATGTGGCGGGATTGTCCATTAGTTAATGAATTTTGGAAACAGATTGTTATAGAAATATTGGGAATTGTGGGTAGGAAGGTGGGAATATCTAAATTAATGGTTCTTATTAGTCTGAGTAGCACCGAGTGAAAACAAAAGAGGAATGTAAATGGGTAAAATTGATGGTAACTGCAGCCAGACAGGTTATAGCGAGTAACTGGAAAAATGCAGAAGAGCTAGGGGTGAACCAATGGAGGAAAAAACTGAATAATATTATAATTTTAGAATATCTAACTGTGAAAATACACAGAAGGAAAGGATTTAAGGTCAGTGAGAAAGAGGAGGATTGGTTTGAGAAGACATTGAATTATTTGGGTAGGTTTGAACAATTTGGGGCAATTAAAATGTTCAAAGTTAAATAAACCTTGTGGATGGAGGAGTGTTAACGTATATAAAATTGTACATATGGTTGATTTTAATATTATTATTGATTATGTATACCCAATGTATCAGCCGCCGGGGGGGTTTCACTCTTTGTGTTTTGGTTGTTGGTAAAAAATAAAAAAATTAAACATTAAAAAAAGAAAATAAACCCAATTCACTGAGATTTATTGTGGGCAAGTCTTGGAAGGAGGAAAGGAGAATCCCAGTCCTTCATGCAACGCAAGAAAATCTTGCTGATTTGAGATGGTTTGTGATTCCTGGGATGTTTTATGTATCCAGATGCCTCTCTGTCTCTCAGACTGATTCTGCCTCTCCTTCTCTTTTCCTCTTCTCTCCCCCCCCATCCCACTTAACAACAGCAGATATAATTATGGATCCAGACACAGCTCATCCTCTGCTCATCCTTTCTGAGGGCGGTAAAAAGGTGGAACGGGGAAACAAACAGCAAGAACTGCCCGACAACATTGAGAGATTCAACAAACTGACTTCGGTGCTGGGGTGTGAGGGATTCACAGCAGGGAGACATTTCTGGGAAGTCGTTCTGGGAGGGGAGGGGTTGTGGGCTTTAGGGGTCGCCAGGAAGTCTGTGAGGAGAAAGGGCTTCTTTCCCTTCAGTCCCGAGAAAGGATTCTGGGCTGTAGGAAAGATTAATCATGGGTATTGCGTCTTGAACCCTCCTGATTACGTTCCTCTGAGTGGGGAGCCTGAGAGGATCCGAGTGACTCTGGACTATCAAGGGAAGCAAGTCTCTTTTTTCAATGCTGAAACAGGAGCCCTGATCTACACATTCTTGGGAGCCTCCTTCTCTGACGAGACCCTCCTTCCTGTGTTTTGGGTGAAAGAGAAAGCCCACCTCAGAATTGTGGGATAAAAGGTAAAGGGACCCCTGACCATTAGGTCCAGTCATGACCGACTCTGGGGTTCCGGCGCTCATCTCGCTTTATTGGCCGAGGGAGCCGGCGTTTGTCCGCAGACAGCTTCCAGGTCATGTGGCCAGCATGACTAAGCCGCTTCTGGCGAACCAGAGCAGTGCACGGAAACGCCGTTTACCTACCTGCCGGAGTGGTACCTATTTATCTACTTGCACTTTGATGTGCTTTCAAACTGCTAGGTTGGCAGGAGCAGGGACCGAGAAACAGGAGCTCACCCTGTCGCGGGGATTCGAACCGCCAACCTTCTGATCGGCAAGCCCTAGGCTTTGTGGTTTAACCCACAGCGCCACCTGCATCCCTGAATTGTGGGATAGCCAACCTCATATAACCAACATGCTTAAGTCTAGTTAATGTACTAAGGGGTTAATGCGATAGAGTAAGCTGTCCTGCCAGGCTTAGCTAGGGCACTCCTTTGGAAGAAGATAATTAAAGCCTTTATTCAACATCAGTCTACCTGAGAAGCTCAATGTGTAAGGTCAGAGCAGGTTGTTGCAGCTCAGGCCGCATGGCTGTTAGAATCCACTCTTGAGTTCCTATACCAATAACTTAGGAGCTTTCACCATTGTAACGAAGCCAGGTTTTACCGCCTGTGTTTTCTGACTGATATATGGAAAAACACATGAACGTGACCTCTGAAGAGTTTGTAAGTAAACCAATTTTTAACTTACCAGACGTGTGGTCTTTTTCTATGCTAGGGGAAGAGGGGAACTTTAGAAGGAACTTAGAATGGCATATTGTAAAGGTCTAACAACCTGTATTTCCATGCTTTATTTTGCAGTTTTAAATCTCTGCTGGAGTTATCTCCCCAAAGAGTACCTGCCCCAGACTTGGACCTTGGCATCCAGGAACTCTCCTCTTATTTTTCCTTGCCAGCCAACAATAATTACTTAAGGAGACCCAAGATATCTACCAGGCTTAGATGGAGTTTCTGTCCAGATCAGAATGAATGATAAAATCAAACATTTGCCAAGAATGTGTGTGTTCATGAAGGAGGCATGTTTCCCCCCTGCACTATTGCAGGCCTTACGCTGCTGAATGGAACCGCAACAGGGAAAGCTCTCTTGCAACCCGTTCCATGTTTTCCTTCAAAACGCTTTAAAAATGCATTGTGCATGGATGATTCTAGTTCCTTTAAAATGGCCATTTTGAGACACGTTTCTTTCTCCCTGCTTCTATCTCGCCCCTCGCTCAGTTCCCCCCAAAATGAGGCTCTTTTTCTAATAGGTTGAAGTGTTCCCCCGACATAGTGTGTTCTGGAGATGGAATAATGTTACCACCAAACTTACTCTTAATTCTACCTAACACACTAGTTTTGTTTTAAATACTGAGTTTTGTTTCAAAATTGTGGCATGTGGTGAAGTCGGTGAAATAAAAAATTAAGGTCTTCTATATATAATAAATGTTCATAAATGTACCATGCAAACACGTACATAAATATATAAACCACATGTCTGAAGCAGCACAGGAAAACAGCCGTGAAGCCATTTTGGCTCCCAAACTGACCAAATGTTTTCTCTGCAAAGTCAAAGGAAAATGGAAAAGCCTCCCTATTGTCTTTTCCTTCACTAATCCTGTCTTAAGGGTATGTTTGTGTACGAATAGGGTGAGCCTGTGAACTGGCTCAGGAACTAAGTATTTATCATTACAAAAGACTGGCCAGGCTCCCCAGGGTATCCAATCAAGTAAGCATTAACAGGTAATTGCCAGACAGGAGGTAAACAATGACATGAGGTAAACAAAGCACTCAGATTTCTGCTGTAGACCGCCCTTTCTGTGATGTAGGTATGATGTCTCTGGGGGTGGTCTTGGACTCCAAGACGGGCAATTTAAAATGTCTATATAAGGGCGGACACACCTTGGTTCTGAGTCCTCCTCCTCCTGCGTGTGAGGGGAGCACCCTGTTGCAACAGTTCAATAAAGATCAGGCTTAAGAGCTGCTTTGCTTCTCAATATTCTCTGGTTGGCCTCTGTTATTTTCACCTACCGATGGAGAACCTGCAAAGGACTCTATAAGGGCTCTTGTGTTCCCCATAAGGGAATAAGGGCAGATTTTCGTTTATTACATCGGTTTCCCAATTCTTGCTCAGCTCCTGGTGTTCAGTAGGTGGCCTTGGGCAACCCACTCTTCTCACATGCTTGTTGCAACACAAAATTGGGAAAGGAGCATTAATGGATTCCACCCTCCCAGAGTTCGGCAGAGGAAGAATACGATAAGACAGACAGTTTTGTGAGGCTGAAGTGTGACACAAAAACCATGCAAAGAGAACCCCTTTTTAAAAATACAAGTAAACATCTGCACACATTTAAAACATCAGCAAAACATGTTTATTATACATTAAGCAAAGGAGTAATCAGAGGTCCTCTCTGCAGATTAATATCTGGATCTGCTCAGCTGCGGTTCACCTGTTCACCTTATCACAGAGCTTAGAAATCTATGAATCTGTTGCTGGCACCAAAAAATACCCATTTCACAGGGGGAAAAGCAGTGATGCTCACTGCCCCCAAGGCAAAACACTCATATATAACCCCCCAAACAAATAAAACACAGACCAAAATAGCTAATGCTCCTCACCAAAACAAGAAAGCTCCCCAACCAACCCAAGACATTAAAAAAATAATAATGAAAATCAGGAGGGACATCCAGGGACCCACAGCTGCCATACTGGGGACCCAGTATTATGCAACAACCAAATACATGGGCTGTATTCTCCCACTGTGAAATAATGTTCCCTTGCATCAATCAGATTTACCTATACCTGCTTCAAAATAGGTATCCCCTTCTCTCACAGGATATATCTCATTTGGTGCTTGCTAGACAACAAATATGTAGGCCTCTTTGAAGAAAGGTGTTTTGCCTAGAATGTCATGTTGGTCTGCCTGCAGAGAAACTGTTATGTACTGAGCTGAATCCTAGAACAATAGGATCCAGAATGCAGCAGTCTGATTGGTTCGTAGGAGCCACCCAATCCAACTCCAGGTGGAAGTGAATCAGCGACCTGATTGGCCTGCAGGAGCAGTGAATCAGCTTCTGGAGGACGTGAATCCGCAACCTGATTGGCCTACAGGAGCAGCCCGGAATTAGCCAATCACACAGGGCCCATTGTGTAAATAATGTATATATAGCTAGACGTTTTGGGGGAAGTTTCATTCATTGCTACAATGAGCTGAATAAAGAGCATGAAATTCACACTCGACTGAGTATATTTCAGAAACTATGAATGTTTTCTTTCCACTCCATCTCACTAATAGCTTGTGAAGGACTTGTGAGGTAGGCAGGGAGAGAAGAAAAATAGAAGTTAAGATCAGGGGTGAGAACAGATATATGGATCTTCTCAAAAACCATGATGCGCAATTACTGCCTCTTTAAGACATAAAAGTATAGCAGGAATAGGGAATTCTCAGATTCCCTCAGATTCTCTCTGAATGGAAGCTCATGTTGGCTTTTCAGTTCTGTATTTGGACCAATATATATAATTAATCAAAGTAATATAATTAATGTGCGGTATTAATAGTCACTCCTGGGGGAAAGCATCAATTAAGTCTTTACAAGCCTGGTTCCACCATGAAGTACACCAGGGAGCAAAATGATGGAGGCGGTGTTGCTGCGGCTCTTTGCCACAATATGCCTGATCTAGAACTTTGAAAATTGCAGTTTGGGTAAATAAAGATAGCAGCCATAACCACAGACACTTGAAGAGTTCCTCAAAACCCTGGAATGAGTCCTGGGTCTTAAATAGAATAGTTTATTATTATTATTATTAAGCACTAAGTACGCAACAGCTGCTCTCGCTCTCTCTCCTACTACCACTTGGGCCCACGAAGGGTGGATGTTCTTGAATCTGGGGCCTGGTTCTCTCAGACCTATAAATAAGGTGCCCTGAAGAGTACATTCTCACATTCAACCAAATAATTATCAGGATCCCAACAGAGCAATATCATCCTGGCCTGTGAGGGAGAGCTTGCCATCTCCAGGTGACAGAGTGAGGTGGGCTTTGTCCCTGAGAAAAACTAAAGGCAGAAGAGTCTCTCCAGAAAATGAGGCCCCCGAGAAGGTGAAGAGGGGAACTCCACTGTCAGCGTCGAAAAAGGCCACCCGACCCCCTTCAACGTTCAGAAAAACTCGGATCCTCTTGAGCTCCCCGCTCAGGGTCAGAGGAGAATAGTGGGGGTTGTTGGTGGCAGAGTATCTACTGCCCAGCTTCCCCACAGCCCATATCCCCTCCTTCGAATTCAAGGACAGCACACCCTTTCTGCTCAGAGATTTCCTGGTGACCCCCACGGCCCACCCTCCGTCGCTTCCCACAGCAAAGTCCCAGAAGTGTCTGCCCGATGTAAACCCCTCGCGCCCCAGCACAAAAGGCGTCTTGTCGAATCTCTCCGGGTTGTCTGGCCGTTCTTGACACTCATCTCCCCATCTCAAGCTTTTGTGATCTTCAGACAGGATGAGGTTGGGATGAGCTGTGTCCGGGTCCAGAGTTATATGTTCTGTTGGGGATTCGGTGGGGTTATGAGGAAAGGAAAGAGAAGTCACTTTAACCAGGAGACAGATTTAAGACCTGATACAACCTCAAGAATGCTGCTCCCTCTTAAATCAATAGAATTTCCATACAATCAGGGCTGGATTAAGTTCTTTAGAGGCATAGCTGTCAACGTTTCCCTTTTTTTAAGGGAAATTTCCTTATTCTGAATAGGATTCCTCACAAGAAAAGGGAAAAGTTGACAGCTATGTTTAGAGGCCCTAAGATTTTGGTGGCCCAGGATGCGGGTCATAATATTAATTATGAGCTATGGGAGAATTTATGGACAGTAAATATGAATCTTACGGCGTGTTACGCACTAAAAATATGGTGAAAATGACCCACAGATGGTACTTAACACCTGCCAAACTAGTGAAAATATTTAAAACAGAAAAAAGCAAATGTTGGAAATGCAACGAAGTACAGTGGTACCTCCAGCTGCGAATGGGATCCGGCTGGATCTGGAGGTTTTCGCAACCCGAGGATCACTGTTATATGCGTGAGTGCGGCGGTAGACCACTTCTGGGCATGTGCACAGGGCGAAACCGGGTCAAATACTTCCAGGATTGCTGCTTTTGCAACCTGAAGTTTACATAACCCGAGGGTTGCGTAACCTGAGGTGCTACTGTAGAGGGATCTTTTTTCCACATGCTGTGATCCTGTAATTAGGGAATTCGGGGAAGTAATTTACAATAAGTTTAAAAAGATATTAAAAAAACACCCTCGCCCAAAGCCTGAGACATTCCTCTTGGGAATGGTAACAACAGAAGTCCCCAAGAAACAAAATTACGTATATATTATTATGTACCACCACTGTGGCTAGAATAGTATTGGCACAAAGGTGGAGAACGAGTATGGCGCCCACTAAGGAAGAGTGGCAATTTAAAATGCTTGATTATGCTGAATTGGCAGATATAACAGATAGGGTAAGAGAAAAGGATGATAAAGGATAAAAGAAGGATTGGAGAATGTTTATTGAATATTTTAAGAACCAGTATAAACAAGTAAATAACCCAGCAGGTATAGAGTAAATCCAGCAGGATAGGAGCTAACAGAAATTAACAGAGGAAGAAATGTGAAGATTAAAGATTTGGAATACCTGATTTAGTAGAAAAGCAAAGAAACCAGGGGAAGGGGAGAAGGGGAGTCACCAGGTATTTAGTTGTATGCAGTGATAGGTATGAAAGTTGTATAATTGGTGGCGAATGGAGGGAAGGGAATGTGGGATGTGAGTATATTGTTTCTGTATTAAAAATGTGCATATATATATATATATATATGTATATATATGAATGATTTTGGTGCCCTCACATATATCTAATTCAAAATAAAAACAATAGTAAACCATATATCATTTATTATTACTGTTACAATATTACATTATTATTATTATTATTATTATTATTATTATTAGTGAATATATGCAATTTTTTCATTAATTGTGGGAGCCTTTTTTTGTGGAACATGGTTTTGCTGCACCATGTGGTCTGTGGCAAATCCAGCAGTGGAAAATTTCTGTGGTGCCTGCCTTCCCTTGATGCCCTAAGCAGGCCCTTATTTTGTTTAACGGTTATTTAAAGCCTGCATTCAATTTATTCAGGACTGAGGCATTTTCCACAATTACCTGGACAGCCACTGTTAGGAGTGGATTGGATGAGCTTGGACCCCCTTTGACCTCAACAATGTGCTGCCATTAATATCATGCTACTGAATTCAAACTAAGGGCCAAATCATACCTACAATTAGCATGTAGTATACAATTGTATCACTGATTCCCCCACCTTACTCCAAAGAAAGCACACCTTCGAGATCCCTATTGTGGCCCCAACCTGAACAGAGACCTGCCTCCACAAGCAATTTTTTGGTATGCAGGTGCGCCTCAGGTCCACAGCAAAGGCCAAAGGCTAAAGCTACCCCCATCCCCACAAACTACCTTCCCAAAGCTGCCCCACCACCATGGCTGAATCCTAAATTGGATCGGGGGACTGAGCTTACTTCTGGAGCCAGAAGAAAAGCTCTGGCGCAGCTGCATTATGCGTATTAAAGGGAAATGTAGCTTGATCCTTAGTCTGATCCAGTAGAATAAGTTCTTTTATCTTCCTAACAAAGGGTTTATTTTGGGATGAAGGGCAGGATAAAAATATAATTTTAATAATATTAATAATGATATTTATATATCGGCAGAGACATCACCTTGCCAACAAAGGTCCGTATAGTTAAAGCTATGGTTTTCCCAGTAGTGACGTATGGAAGTGAGAGCTGGACCATAAAGAAGGCTGATCGCCAAAGAACTGATGCTATTGAATTATGGTGCTGGAGGAGACTCTTGAGAGTCCCATGGACTGCAAGAAGATCAAACCTCTCCATTCTGAAGGAAATCAGCCCTGAGTGCTCACTGGAAGGACAGATCCTGAAGCTGAGGCTCCAATACTTTGGCTACCTCATGAGAAGAGAAGACTCCCTGGAAAAGACCCTGGTGTTGGGAAAGATGGACGGCACAAGGAGAAGGGGACGACAGAGGATGAGATGGTTGGATAGTGTTCTCGAAGCTACAAACATGAGTCTGACCAAACTGCGGGAGGCAGTGGAAGACAGGAGTGCCTGGCGTGCTCTGGTCCATGGGGTCACGAAGAGTCAGACACGACTAAACAACTAAACAACAAATATGAAAAGCCATGGAGCTTTCCCTTAACTTTCTACGGATGGTTTCAGAGCCACCAGGACAGAACTATGAGATGATAATGAAATGTTCTCTCACAAGATTCACCTCCTGTGAATGTTTTCCCTCAAAAGCCCCCAAAATTTACCTTCTTGCACCTTGACTCCAAATACCAGAGTGTCTGCGAAAGAAAAAGGAAGACCGAGATATTAAGATCACACTGCCATGCCTAAAGCAAATCTTGTAACGGCAATGTCATTTCACACATTTTTTCTCTTATTTCAGTGGGAGGGTTAAGTAAAAACATGTTTTTGATGGCAGAGAAGTATTCCCCTCAACTCTGTTACTCCTCCATCACCTTAAATTCAGCTCAGCCTCCTGAATTCTCGTTTCCTCTCCTCAGACTAAGAAAAGTCTGCAGCAGCCTGGGTTGTTGTTATTTATTCATTTATATACCGCTTGCTTGCCCAAATGGTTTCTCAGTGGTTTACATGTATGAAATCAATGATAAAAATATGAGCAATAAAACAATGTCATCGAAACACTGAAACAGTCATCCTTAACTAAAATATAATAACAAACGAGGCTGGGAGTAAGGACTCTTGATAGAGATTGTAGTTAATAAGGTAAAGTCCAGTCAAAGGCGACTATGGGGTTGCGGCGCTCATCTCGCTTTCAGGCCAAGGGAGCCGGCGTTTGTCCACAGACAGCTTTCCGGGTCATGTGGCCAGCATGACTAAAGCGCTTCTGGCGCAATGGGACACCATGACGGAAACTGGAGCGCACAGAAACACTGTTTACCTTCCCACCACAGTGGTACCTATTTATCTACTGGCACTGGTGTGCTTTTGAACTGCTAGGTTGGCAGGAGCTGGGACAGAGCAGGATTCGAACTGATGACCTTCTGATTGGCAAGCCCAAGAGGCTCAGTAGTTTAGACCACAGGGCCCCTTGTAGTTAATAACACCTGCCTTAAAGAATATTAACCACTTGTGTTGACTGTTCAACCTTGACTAGTGAATACAGTCAACACAAGTGGTTAATATTCTTTAAACATATTATAAATTAAAGAAACTATTAATTAGCAAGCACCAATTCTATGCTATTTTGAAATAAATGCCTAATGTCCCTCAGTTACCTCAAGAGCTTTTCACCTCTAAGTGAAGGAAGCAGGAGGCAGTTTTAATCTTACTGGGTAGAAAAATCCTGGCAGGTTTTTCCTTTTATTTCCACAAGTGAAAGGAATAAAAACTTACTCATTTTTTTTAAAAGGGAAGCTAAAAAGAACTTTCCTTTCCATAACCTGAGAGCCCACCCCCTGCCTCAAGCTCACTTTTGGACATGTAAGATGTTCTGTATCAAATCTTTGCATCCATTTCCCCTTTACCTTTGAACTGCTTCATGGCACCCTCGAGAAAAGAGGTTTTATCACAGAAGTCCCAGATCCTCCACTTCAGCTCAGGAGAAAAAGCCTCGGGATTCTCGAATGCCTCCTTTTCCTCACACCTGGCAGAGCAACAATGTTAACCCATTGTCCACCCAACCCCGTATCCCCAAATAAGCCAAAAAAGAAAAGACAAGGATGTGTTGGAAAGATACCTCAGAGAGCCTGGAGACAGAGGGGGGTGGGTGCATTGGCAAGAAGACAATTGCCCCTCAATATATATATATATACACATGTGTGTGTGTGTGTGTGTGTGTGTGTGTGTAATGAAATTGATATACAACTTAGTTTTTTTTTAAGGCTTTAAACCAGCGGTTCTCAGCCTGTGGGTCCCCAGATGTTGTTGGACTACAACTCCCATCATCCCTGAGCTCCGGCCTTGCTAGCTAGGGGTGATGGGAGTTGTAGTTCAACAACATCTGGGGAGCCACAAGTTGAGAAAGGCTGCTCTAAACCATGGGTAGGCAAACTAAGGCCCGAGGGCCAGATCCGGCCCAATCGCTTTCTCAATCCGGCCTGCAGACGGTCTGGGAATCAGCGTGTTTTTACATGACTAGAATGTGTCCTTTTATTTAAAATGCATCTCTGGGTTATTTATGGGGCATAGGAATTCGTTCATCTCCCCTCCCTCAAATATAGTCTGAGGGAGGTCTGAGGGACAGTGGACCAGCCCATGGCTGAAAAGTTTGCTGACTCCTGCTCTAAACAGTTTACATAACATAAAACATTCACAGGAAAATGCCAATAAAATCAGCAGGCTTACAGAAAGAAGTAAACACCCTAATTAAAATAATAAAACGGTCAAAACACAGATGAAATCAACAGTTTTAAAAAGAAATACACAAAATAACATAGCGCAGTCGGACCCCCCCAAATAAGACATGTGAGGGCAAAATAGCACCTCCATATGACACCGGCATGCTCAAAACTATTCAGCTGCTACCCACAGCCCAGGAGAAAGAGAGTATCTCCCTTGCTCCTTCAGTAAGCGTGCATCACACACACACAGAGAGAGGAATGTGATGGTTGGTGGTGCCAGTTGCCAGTCAAGTTACTTACCGCTGCAAGAAGCTTTTAATATCCTGCAGGGGAAAAGAGAGAGGCAAGGGAGAAATCAGTGTTTGCAGCAACCCACATTACAATGACCCTTTCAGCATTGAAACTGGTGCCCTCTGGGAACAAGCTGGCAGGACAGCCCACTGAAAAGCTATAAGATACCTTGAGTCCCATCAGGGAAAATGGCGGGGTATAAAGAAATACATAAAAGTAAAAATAAAAGCAGTACATACATGGCTTTGGCCCTGTATACCTGAAGGAGCGTCTCCACCTCCATCATTCAGCCTGGACGCTGAGGTCCAACTCCGAGGGCCTTCCGGCGGTTCCCTCCCTGCGAGAAGTGAAGGTACAGGGAACCAGGCAGAGGGCCTTCTCGGTGGTGGCGCCCGCCCTGTGGAACGCCTTCCCATCAGATGTCAAGGAGATAAAGAACTACAGAACTTTTGGAAGACATCGGAAGGCAGCTCTGTACAGTCGAACCTCGTGTTACGGACAAGCAGAAGAGAATAGAATCAGAGCCAGCTGAGTGTGGGATGCAACATAAGCAGTCAAATACAACATTTCAAAGTGTTGGTGCTGACCTTTAAAGCCCTAAACGGCCTCGGTCCTGTATACCTGAAGGAGCATCTCCACCTCCATCATCCAGCCCGGACACCGAGGTCCAGCTTCAAGGGTCCTCTGGTGGTTCCCTCATTGCGACAAGTGAGGTTACAGGGAACCAGGCAGAGGGCCTTCTCGGTAGTGGCGCCCGCCCTGTGGAACGCCCTCCCTTCAGATGTGAAGAAAATAAGCAGCTATCCTATCTTTAAAAGACATCTGTTTAGGGGAGTTTTTAATATTTAATGCTGTATTATTTTTAACATTCGATTGGGAGCTGCCCAGAGTGGCTGGGGAAACTCAGCCAGATGGGCGGGGTATAAATAATTAATAATAATAATCATAACAAGAAAACATGTAACCTGAAGCGGACACAACATGAGGTATGACTGTATAGGGAAGTTTTTAATGGCTGGTGTTTTACTGTGTTTTTATAATTTGTTGCAAGCCACCAAGAGTGGCTGGAGCAATCCAGATAGGCGGAAAATAAAGAATAAATTATGTTTGGACTGTGTCCTTGAAATTTGGTAGTGCCTCTGACTTTCCTAAACCGGGCCCCTTTGTTTCTTGTGTGGGTGAAGGAGCCACACAATTGCTTTGGGGCCAACTTCGCTGTTATGTACTGAAGTTCTCACCCTGGGCCAGCAGGGGGATACTGTAGATAGTTATGCAAATAAGGGATCAAAAGTGACATTCAGTGATTGGATAGTTTTAGAAAGTTGTTACAGTAACGTTGTACTGGAGCTCTATATAAGCAGGCTGGCTGAACCCTTCAGTTCTGTCCTGGCCTGTGAATAAACAAGAGCTGTTTGAAGAATCGCTGTGTCGTCTGATATGTTCACCCAGAACTTAACACTTGCGCTGACTGGAGAGCAGCCCAGGCTGCTCCTTCTGCCATTTTACCTGCAGGAGTTCGCCAGCTGTTTGCTGGCGCTTCTTCTCCACCTCCCGGAGGACGCACTCGAGGGCAAAGAGTTCTCCGGACAGCTGGGCCATGCGCTCATCTCTTTTCCACCTGATCTCCATCTCTGCTTGTTTCAGCTGGGCCAGCATGAGCTTCTCTTGCTCCTCCAGGAACTGGCGCAGCTGCCTGAACTCAAGCAATGTCTTTTTCCTCTTCGCTTTCGTTTGCTTCTGAAATAAGCAGGCAGGAGGAGGAGAAAAGGAAGTGCCTGTTAGGATATTTCCGTTCCTCCTTAAAAAGGGAAGAGGCTATTGTGTGTCACAAGCCTGCGTACTTCCTGCTCACAGGGAGTTTCCGTTTTGTATATAGCTTTTGTTTCTGGCTGTTTTTCCTTGACACGGATGCAAGCAGTCATGTTTTTCCTTTGTTCTGACCAACGTTGAATAAAGCTGTAAATATGCTCTTCTGGGTGAATCTTCCGTTGTGGAAACTCTGCGAAAAGGGCGTGCATGAGTCTTGGAACGTGTCTGAGGCTCGTGTCGCTAATTGACTGATGCTGTTCCAACGGGAGACCGGGAGATCGTCCAGAGACAACGATGGAGGCCTGCCTGATTGCCTCTGTCTCCCTGGCAGTATCCCAACAGCGTCCCCCCCCCAAATGCCCTCAGGGAGATCACCACAGCCGCCCCACCTCAGGCCCACGCCAGCTCCTCACCCCATAATACAGTCGTACCTTGGATCTCGAACGGCTTAGTTGCCGAACCGTTCGGCTCCCGAACGATTGAGAACCGGAAGTGATTGTTCCAGTTTTCGAACTTTTTATTATGAAGGCAAACGTCCAATGTGGCTTCCGATTGGCTGCCAGGAGCTTCCTGAAGCCAGTTGGAAGCCGTGCTTTGGTTTCTGAATGTTTTGGAAGTCGAATGGCCTTCCAGAATGGATTCCGTTCGACTTCCAAGGTACGACTGTTCAGATGTTAGCTAGTCCTGGCAGTCCTTCACTTCTCAATAAGAGCAACACTTACGAGCAAGACTTTGCTTTCCCTTTTTGTGTCTGCTTTGCATGACAGAACTTTCTCCCTCTCTTTCTTCAGAGTCTCCAGGCAGCTGTAGAGACGATCCTGAAAAGAAACGAGGAAATGTTAATTTAATATACGTGCAGGAATTTATGGGTGGATTGTTGTCTGAAAGTAAATTAAGGGTTGTTGTTTTTTTAAAAAGCAAGTATATTATAATGTAAGGTTATTTGTAATGTTTGAAGTTAGACTAGGATTAACTGGGAATATGATGCAGCACCAAGGAGAATCACAAGGAGAAATGTTTAATTTGCTTAGATTAAATATTAAATTTGTTTTAATTTAATTTAATTTGTTTCAATTAGTGATCAATTTGGAAAAAAATGAAAATCAATGAAAAAGATGTGTCCAAAGGAATGAGGAATTCCATTTTGGTCAATTCTTCGCTATATATTGTCAAATCAAAAATATCACTTAAAAGACTTAAAGCATAAGCCAATTTAGGGCATCTTGAATTTTTCAACTTTCAAATTCTAAGAATGAGGGGTGTTAAAAAGTTTTAACATAACTAGGGGATTCAAAAGTTATTTTTGTTAAATTAATATAATTTGGTTTCGCTTGGTAAGTAATATGTGTGTGGCATGGCATCGAAATCATTAGAAATGATTGCAGTTATATTATATTAAAATTATTATTAATTAATTTTTATTTAACACTACCTGATATTTTCAGAAGGCAAAATTAGAAATCTGTGGTTTTCTGAAGCAGTTTATGTGCTGCTTCAAGAAACGTAGACTTAACAAGCTAAATGTCGTCCAATCACAAAAATAATAGCACACGCCCAAAACCATAATTTTAAGACCACTCACTGAAAATTTTTGCAAAAATTAAGTTTCACCCCCTAAAATGACACTTCCTACCGGACCGTGCCTGTAATCAGACTATCTGATCACAGCAAAACCTGCAAGACTAGCTTGGGATTTATTTTTCAGCAAAAGTTAACAAGAATCAACATGAGCTATATTTGGCATTCCCAAGAAAATGAAAAGGATGCCATTATCAAGTTATTTCCCACCTTGTACCCTTGGACAGACTCCTCCGGCGGAAGCAGAGTGTGTGTCCAATGTTCTTCAGATTCTCGACAAAGCTCGCACACCAGTTTCTCGTCCTCTTTGCAGAACAGGCTGAGCTTTTCACTGTGGCTCTCGCACAGCTCCCTCTTCTCCAGATTCAGTGGCAGGAGTTTAATTCTTTCCACGATATTTGCCAGCTGCCAGTTTGCCCGGAACTTCCCTTTCTGGAGGACAGCGCTACAGACGGGGCACCTCAAGGTCCACAGGACATTCCAGTTCACCACGTGCTCCTTGATGCAACCCCAACAGAAGCTGTGGCCGCAGTCGACGCTCACGGGGTCTGTGAAATACTCTTTGCAGAGGGGGCACCTGGCTTCCTCGACTATGTAAGCGGACGGCTGAGCTGAGGCCATGGTGGGCAGAGACCCTCAAAACCCCGTTGCTAAAGGCTGTAGCTTGTGGGACCTGTTAAGAGAACAGCAGGATAGCAATGGACTAGAGAAGGAAGGAAGGAATAACTCCTGTGAGATGATATTGTCAACAACTATGAAGGCCATAAGCTGTCAACTTACAGATTTGAAAATAAGGGACCAGCAGCCTTGAAAATAAGGGATCAGCAGCCAAAATAAGGGATTTTTGGAGCGCAGGTATGTTCAACTTCTAAGCCTCTCCGAGCCAAAGGCAGAAAGCCCAGCCAGCCGCCAAACGAAGCCTCAAGCGGTGGTTCCCACAGCGCAGCAACCCGGCAAAGGGGATGCAACAAGGAAAACCACTGTCACCTCTTCGCTGGGAAGCACTAAGCAAAGGCGAGTCCCCAGGCAACGCGGCTGATTTGATTGGCACAAGGCATGCAAGCTCCACCCCCCCAGTCGTTCTTAGACTCCTTATTGGGTGAGCAACGCAGCCAAGCAACACAGTTGGAGCCTCCCTCCTCCCTGGCCGGCAGGGAGGGAGGGTGAGGAGCTGCTTCCTTTGAAACCCGGGAAATTTAAGGGACATCATCAATAAGGGACAGCAGCGGACACAGCGCTGGGATAAGGGAGTTTCCCGCCAAATAAGGGACGGTTGACAGTTATGACGAAGGTTTTAATTCCTCATGTTATTTCTTTGCCAATTTTATTTGCAACCTGTTCCTCATTGTTCACACAATCCCAGAACAAGAGACAATATTAAAATGCAATGAAATAATATTTAGTTTAAATGCAACTACTGCATGCAACATGGATCCTGAACGCCTTGCGAGTCAAACGTTTCGTCTCCTGAATGCCGCAAACCCAGAAGTGAATGTTCCGGTTTGGAAACGTACTTTGGAACCCAAACGTCCGACACAGCTTCTGATTGGCTGGCAGGAGCTTCCTGCAGCCAATTGGAAGCTGCACCTTGGTTCCCAAACGTTTTGGAAGTCGAACGGATGTCCGGAACGGATTCCGTTTCACTTCCGAGGTACTAGATTGGAGAACGATGCCTCTCTACATCTCTAGCACATCCCTCAAGATATACCTCTCAGGTCACTCTCTCTCTTTCTTGCAGGTTCAATGCATGTTTCCTGCTGTTGTTCCCTAGATACGTGGCTAAAGGTAAAGGTAAAGGGACCCCTGACCATTAGGTCCAGTCGTGGCCGACTCTGGGGTTGCGGCGCTCATCTCGCTTTACTGGCTGAGGGAGCCGGCGTACAGCTTCCGGGTCATGTGGCCAGCATGACTAAGCCGCTTCTGGCGAACCAGAGCAGCGCACAGAAATGCCATTTACTTTCCTGCCAGAGCGGTACCTATTTATCTACTTGCACTTTGATGTGCTTTCGAACTGCTAGGTTGGCAGGAGCAGGGACCGAGCAACGGGAGCTCACCCTGTCACAGGGATTCGAACCACCGACCTTCTGATCGGCAAGCTATTAAACAGGTGAAGAGTTGCAAGCACAGAAAATGGGGCCTGTGAATGACCATCGGCTCTGCTATCTGGGGCTGATAAGAGCTGATGGTGAACAATGTTTGGAGGGCGCCAGGAAGGCTGAAACTAAACACGAGGATGAAGTTTCTTATGGGAAGAGCAGTTCCGACAGCAAAATGATCTCCATCGGAAGGTGGTGGACTCTCCTTCCCTGGAGGTTCTTAAGCAGCGGTTGGAGAGCCGTCTGTCATGGATGCTTTGGTTGAGATTCTTGTACTGCAGGGGGTTGGACTAGATGACCCTCGGGGTCCCTTCCCACACTACGATTCTATGAAAATCGTGTATCCACAAATTCAGGGTTAGGATTTGAGTACCACCTGACTGTAGCGAAAACATCTAAGCGGTTTGCAAGAAATATTAAACCAAATATTTAATAAAATAAGAAATGACAGTTGAAAACATTTAACAATAATAAGTCAAGATAGCATGATAATGATAATGATAATGATAATGATGATGATGATAATAATGATAATAATGATAATAATAATAATAATAATAATAATAATAATAATAATTTTTATTTTCTTTAGTTATACCCCGTCCTTCCTGGTTCAGAAAACCAGGCTCAGGGCGGCTAACAACAAATTTAAAACACTTAATTGATGCAACAAAAAAACAGCATAAAATACAGTATAAAACGGGAATAACAATAAATTCAGAATTCAAAAATCAGTTTGGGGAGGAAATCCACCCAATAAACATTAGATGATCACCAGGGCTAGCTGGCTGTCAATGTTTTCCCTTTTTAAAGGGAAATTCCCTTATTCCAAATAGGATTCCTCGCAAGAAAAGGGAAAAGTTGACAGCTATGCCTATTTTGCCAGCGAGGAGACCAGGGGAGAATTAGCTGTGGGATCCCAGAGCGGGTAATCTTCATGAAAAGGGGAGGGGGGGAGGGAAGGGAGGGGGGAATAAAAGATCAGGCTAAGTTCAAATTGAAAGCCAGGCGGAATAGCTCTGTAGGTATGGCTAAACAAATATATTTTAAGCGTAATCAGCGAAGGCACCTGCCTGGTGTCAATAGATTTCACAATGATCTGGAGATCTCCTGGAACAAATCCACCAGAACTGACTTCCTGCGATTAAGGAAGGCAAAGGGGAAAACAGCGCTTGCTTTAGGCAGCTGTCATCTGACCTCCCCGCAAACAAACCAAGACAAACACTCGGCAGGTAGCTGACACAGCTTAACCCACCCAGGAAACAAAACAGAATGAATGCTCAGCAGCAGGTGACTGGAAGTAACCTATGGCCAGCGCCCTTGGCTTCTTTGCAGAGAATGAGCACACAAAGACCTCTTGTGATCAGCGCTGCTGGCCCACCAATCAGTGCATGGGTAGGCAAACTAAGGCCCGGGGGCCGGATCCGGCCCAATTGCCTTCTAAATCCGGCCCGTGGACGGTCCAGGAATCAGTGTGTTTTTACATGAGTAGAATGTGTGGTTTTATTTTAAGTGCTTCTCTGGGTTATTTGTGGGGCATTGGAATTCGTTCATTCCCCCCCCCCCAAAATATAGTCCGGCTCCCCACAAGGTCTGAAGGACAGTCGACCGGCCCCCTGCTGAAAAAGTTTGCTGACTCCTGAATCAGTGTGCAAACTGGGCACTGTTGTTTAGTTGTGTCCAACTCTTTGTGACCCCCTGGACCAGAGCACGCCAGGCACTCCTGTCTTCCACTGCCTCCCGCAGTTTGGTCAAACTCATGTTTATAGCTTCGAGAACACTGTCCAACCATCTCGTCCTCTGCCGTCCCCTTCTCCTTGTGCCTTCCATCTTTCCCATCAGGGTCTTTTCAAGGGAGTCTTCTCTTCTCATGAGGTGGCCAAAGTATTGGAGCCTCAGCTTCAGGATCTGTCCTTCCAGTGAGCACTCGGGGCTGATTTCCTTCAGAATGGAGAGGTTTGATCTTCTTGCAGTCCATGGGACTCTCAAGAGTCTCCTCCAGCACCAGAATTCAAAAGCATCAATTCTTTGGCGATCGGCCTTCTTTATGGTCCAGCTCTCACTTCCATACATCATTACTGGGAAAACCATTGCTTTAACTATACGGACCTTTGTTGGCAAGGTGATGTCTCTGCTTTTTAAGATGCTGCTGTCTAGGTTTGTTCTTGCTTTTCTCCCAAGAAGCAGGCGTCTTTTAATTTCGTGGCTCCTGTCCGGCAGCAACTCTCCAGCACGATGCTAACCCCGTTTACCTGGGTAGACACAGTTAGGATCCCACCGCTGAGCGCCCCTCTTCTCTCAAAGAAGGGCAGCGGTTCTGTCGTATCCCCACCCTGCCCTCGGGTACCAAGAGAGGCGCTTACCCATGTAAATAGATCTTGGCAGCTGCTTGGCAACACCCGACGTGGGATCTGAATTGCACTTTCAAGCATGAGGCGGGGAGACTCTCGCCGGATGTATCCTTGAATCAAAGCGTTGGAAGGGACCCGATGGTCATCTAGTCCAACCCGCTGCAATGAAGGAATCTCCTCTGAAGCATCCATGGCAGAACCAGTACTGTCGAACCAGTAATGTGGCTTAATAAATAAGGCAGCTTCGAGGGTCCCTGCTTACCTGCAACCTGTTCGATCTAAGGAGCCTTTTCTCCTCGCTTCTTCTGCCCTCTGCTCTTGGACACGTTCTCCGACATGCAGATCCCCGCCCCCTGCCTGCTGCCCCTGTTCCCTCTCTCCAGATCTGTCGGATCTGCCGCAGCTCCTGCTTCCTCAGTTCTCTGGACCCAGCCCTCGCTTGCACTCCGCCCCTGGACCAATATCCTCCGGTTAACCCCTTCCTAGCACTCCCTTAGGGATGCGGGTGGCGCTGTGGGTAAAAGCCTCAGCGCCTAGGACTTGCAGATCACATGGTCGGCGGTTCGAATCCCCGCGGCGGGGTGCGCTCCCGTCGTTCAGTCCCAGCGCCTGCCAACCTAGCAGTTTGAAAGCACCCCCGGGTGCAAGTAGATAAATAGGGACCGCTTACCAGCGGGAAGGTAAACGGCGTTCCGTGTGCTGCGCTGGCTCGCCAGATGCAGCTTGTCACGCTGGCCACGTGACCCGGAAGTGTCTCCGGACAGCGCTGGCCCCCGGCCTATAGAGTGAGATGAGCGCACAACCCTAGAGTCTGGCAAGACTGGCCCGTATGGGCAGGGGTACCTTTACCTTTACCTAGCACTCCCTCCCGAAACAGGGGAAGGCGTGCGTGCCAAGGGCTCTTGTTTTGTTCACGGAATCGGAGAGTTGTAGAGCTGGGAGGGTCCCCAGGGTCATCTAGTCCAACCCCCTGCAATGCAGGAATCTTTTGCCCGGTGTGGGGCTCAAACCCACGACCCTTACTGCCTTTGCATCCCAAGGAGCTCAAGGTGGCATGCATGCTTCTCTCCGTCTCTTATTCTCTGCAATGGCCCTGCGAGGTCGGCTCGGGTGAGAGACTGTGGCTGGCCTCAAAGTCACGATACAATACGATAATCTTTATTGTCGTTGTCCCATACAGAACAAGGAA